TACAAGAAATAGTAAGTAATAAACTAAATGTATATGACTGAAAGATTCCAAGTTTATAATAACTAGTACAAACTCCCGTCGCTTTGCTGACGGTTTACGATAATGTTAGGGTTTGTTTATAATTAACAGATAGTATTACCATTTGATAGACCTGTCAGAGGTTCAGTAACTTTATACTGTGTCTGTATGCTGTACAAAAGTACTGTACAGTACCTTTACTACAGTACTGTATTGTAGTAGAACCGAACCGACGAACCACGGTTCACGTCGACATAAATCGGTGAACCGAACCGAACCTCTGCCAGGTCTACGGGCAATTGATAATGTACAGTATATATTTGTTAATAATTAATAGATAGTATTACCATTCGACATTATATATATCCCGATAATAGCCGGGCACTACAGTATATTATGACTGAAAGATTCCAAGTTTGTAATAATGTAGAGTTTATTATTATCTACACAGTGTTGCGATTCTAGATACAATTCTAGATACAATTCTAGATACAATTCTAGATACAATTCTAGACTATTCAAAAGTTAAAGTTTACATTATTTGTATTACTTTATAGAGTAGTATACCTAGGTTACCTACCCTAAATAGATACTCGCATCTATACAGTAGTCTAGAGTAGCTGTTTGCTAAAATTCTAAATAAGACAAAATAATCGTAAAAATAACATATGTAATTCTAGCCTGCTTAGAGATTACAATTTATATTATTTGTATTACTTTGTGGCGTAGCGTAACTAGGTCCCTTATCTTAAATAGATACTTGCATCTATTTATAAGTCTAGAGTACCTGCTAGATAAAATTCTAAATAAGACATAGAATGGTGAAAACAACTGATAGCAACCCTTAAACTTTCAGTTAATCAATTGCCAAGTTAAAGTACGTGCTAATATTGGCCAATAAATATTGACTTTGTATTTTTCAGCTTTTCTTTAACTTCGCTGAATAAAAGTTTTATTACTATTTTATCTCTTGATATGATAAGTCTACTCCTACATTCGATACATATGATATTTTATCGCATTGTAAACTAAGTCATAAAATTGAAGTCAAGCAATAGCACAATACTCGCCAGCTATAACACACTTGTTATATAAACTATCAAGCTGAATTCCGCCGGATGATTTTACATTTTGATTCTATCGAAATAGAACAGATCTAATCATTTGTAAGACGTCTAATGCTGTAAAATCATTGAAAATTTGAAACTGTAGGCCGCTAAAAATTTCATCAGAGATGCAGACAAACTAAATTTCACTTTGATCACTACAGAAGCTTTTTTTACTTCTCCAGTAGAACAACTCAAAAGCATTAAGGTAATAAGTTGAAGTTATTTATTATAATTAGCACAAATAATCAGCTTCATAGTATTCATTTAAGTTTCTATAGTTAAGGTAGTAAATTATGTTATCATTGAGATGTTACTCTAGGAAAAAGATCGAATAATGGTTATTGTCCACGTTATAGTATCATTTTATCTAACAAAACATTGAATTTTAGAATTACTTCAATAATTATAATTTTTAAATTCTAAGTACGAAGCAAGACTATGTGTTTATCCCAGTCTTTTGTACTTAATTATATTGACTAATTTTAAGCGTAGTTTTCAATGCTTACTCATAAGAATCAAATTTTAATTGATATCTTTTCTATAGGAGAAAGGTGCTAAGATTATTTTGTTATTTGCCAGTGTAATTCCTACCATCAAATTGTTTTGCGAAGTAATGCCGAATTGAACCATTTTAACGTTGTAAATTTTTAATAGTTTTAATATGAATAATTAAAGGCTACTTAATAAGAAGACGTAAAGTTGACTTATTTTACATCATTGTCACCAATTAGTCACTGCAACGACTATTAATTACATTTATAGAAATTTAATCTTACGTTGTATAAAGCCGATTCCCGTATTTTGTAATTAATCTTTGTTAGGTTTATCATCAAAAAATGTATGGGTCGCATTACGTTTGGTTTATAACCTATGGATATACCAAGAATTGGTGGAGAGCATTTCGTACAGATGCTAATGTTAACTGCACGTCAGAGCAATTGGAATTAGCAATGTCATCCTATTTTACCTTTAATAATGTCGAGCTTGGTTCTGATGAAACGACAGTCTCAGGGATGGTAAGCGTTGTCTCTGACTATCAGATATTGATACATAGCTATCGTATATCATTTTACCAATATGAACTTTCTACATGTGATGGAGGGTTCGATATCTCAGAGGATTGAGATTTAGTCGCCATTTACAATTATTACACCAAAGGGTTTATAAAAGTTATGCTTTATTGTAGGTTAGTAATGTGAAGTACAGTGAGATAGTTACGGTAGATCAGCGTGCAAGCTGTCGTGAGTAACGAGTAGAAGTATTAGACTGTGAGAGACTAACTAGAAGACTAACTGAGAGGCTAACGAACTCTGAGGTAGAAATCGCCGGTATTTATAGTTTTAAAGATAGAGCACATGCAGACAATAGGATTGTGGAATTAGATACAACATATACCATAACAGGTTACAAAATAGCAGATGATTGTAGAAAACAGCGAGTACCGTAATAACTAAATACAGTAGTTTATATATGAATGTAGAGTAAGCGGACTGTAGATCT